GTATTTGTTTATTAATTGTACATATTATTGTGTATTTGTTGTCATTGCTCTCATTTCCCCCTCTATCTTAGCCTAGATTCAAAAACTACACTTATTAAGCACCTACTGTGTACCAGGCACCTTCACACACATTATGTTATTTAATCCCTGACCATGGATTAAATAACAGAATGTTATTTAACATAAACAACATAAAAATGTTAGAAAATGGGACTCTGCCATTTACTGGGCCCTGTTTGGTACCACCTGTCCACCCATACAACCTTGTTTGATCCGTCTAGCCACGCAAGCAGCTCACCGGCCCATCCTAACGCCCACAGCTGGGGAGGGCCTTCAAGGTCAGCTTTAAATATGCACAGTGCTTCATGGTTTCAGAGTGCTCCTGCTCTCCTCACCTTCTCCAGCCTCACAATCCTGAGCCCCACAACCTGTGACTCACTGACTGAACCCCAGAACAGAAAGGAATCTAGGGAACAGCAGTAATTAACAAGGAAGCTTATCACGATCCGTATTTCCAGGTCCAAGGCTTGTTGCTCTTGGCGACCGCGAAGGACATCAGCAGTCGCACTCTAGAGCAGTGGTTCCCAAACTTATTTGGCCTACCGTCCCCTTTCCAGAAAAAAATATTACTCAGCCCCTGGAAATTAATTTTTTTTTAATTTTAATAGCAGTTACTCATCGCCCCCAAATGCACCTGTGGCCATCACCGCCCCCCTGGATCGCTGCAGCGCCCACCGGGGGGCGGTAGCGCCCACTTTGGGAATCACTGCTCTAGAGCCTGTTTGGGTGTTTTTAATAAAATGTCTGGTGCCATCAGCAGGCCACAGAGTGGTGGGGCTTGCTTTAGAAAGGCACCGTAGGGACGTGTGACGGCCCTTTTCCCCACAGCACTCAGTTGCACCGTTTGCCTTTCAGCGTCATCATGACCGGCTCCTACAACAACTTCTTCAGGATGTTTGACCGAAACACCAAGCGTGATGTCACCCTGGAGGCCTCGAGGGAAAACAGCAAACCCCGGGCTATCCTGAAACCGCGAAAAGTGTGCGTGGGGGGCAAGCGGAGAAAAGACGAGATCAGCGTCGACAGCCTGGACTTTAGCAAAAAGATCTTGCATACAGCTTGGCATCCTTCAGAAAATATTATAGCAGTGGCGGCTACAAATAACCTATATATATTCCAGGACAAGGTTAACTAGGAGGACAAGTTATTATTGCTTAATAATCTCACATACTGAATACTAGTCAAACATGTTTTTAAATGTTTCTTTGGGTCTTCATTTGATGCATTGACTTTCATTTCCCTACACGGAAAACAACTGGGATAGAGTTCAAAGGAGTCCAACTTTCCCATATCCCCAGTTCTAAGACACTTTTGTCCAACCCAATAGGTCCCGGACACTTCTGTTTAGAATTGAGAGCTGCCAGCTAACAGTAATTCTTCCATAGTTGACCTGAATTTCTGATGCTTTTCTTTGCCCAGTTTTCTCTGGTGGGTCCCGTGTTTTGTTGCTAGGTGTCTGCTGAGATAAAATGAGGTTGTCTGTAGTATTTAAAGTGAAAAGGGATACGTTTTTTTTTAATTAAACAATTCCCTTTGATTGAAAAATTCAACAAAAAAATAAACACCGTTTACTCTACTCTTTAGAGAAATGCTCCTTGTTTTGTGAGAAAGAAAAAAAAAGAACTAGTCAGCATCTCCTGCCTCAACAGCACTTTTTTTTTTGCCATTTTCTTTTTTAACAATTTCATTTGAGCCAGAGATTTATCTCATGAGGCTGTGAAGGGGATGCTGAATGAGAAGGGGAGGACCGCATCAGCACTGCTATAGTCTTTCATTTGTAAGCGCCATAGAAAGAGCCTGAGAATCTGGCTGGGAAGCACCGTGAGTGCTTCAGGGGACATAAAGGGAGCGCTTCTACACGGCGCTTCTCAGGGCTGGCTTGGCAAGGCCACAGGGGCCAGATTCCATCAGCCGCTCTGTTCCTCTTGCTTTTTGTCATTTTAAATGGCTCCATATAATCCTGTACTTACACGTTCCCTGGCTTTTTCTCTTCACCCTTTTCCAGCTTACTTACTCCATTGACTTCTAAAGGCCGGGCCCCGGTTGTTTCTTAGCTGGCGTTCTGCATGAAGCTGGAGGCTGCGGCACCAGCCCTGGCTCCCTGAGCAAGGCTGGCCTGTCCTTTTCGGGCGTGTCTCCTGAGCAGGCCCCCTCCCCTCTTCCTGGGTTTGGTAACCAAAAGGAACAACCCATCGATCTCCACTGTCGCTAGAACCGATACAGCCAATAAAAATGCTGATTTGTACAGTCTAATCGAGCACTTCTAACCCTCCCCAAGCTCACCATCTGCAAAAAATGGAATCCGGGGGAATGGAGATGCTTTGACATTAGAGTGACGTCGGCTTAAATCTGTGGAGGCTGGTTCGTCCTTCCCCCAAGTTGAAGATTCAAACTAAAACTTCCAGAAGGTTCATGTGGCACACCTCTGAGAAGGAGACACAGTGAATTCAAAGGACTGAAAAGCAAAAGGTTTCTCAGAATAAGCAACACATAAGCAGAATTGTAAAGCAGGTCGCCCACCAGACCAAGCATATTATGGCATTTCTAGTAGAGAGAACATCACAGGTGAGGTCTGAAGCAAGCGTGGATGCTGCACACAGGCAGCATGAAATGAATGTCTTTCTAATTAGATTAGAAACACTTCAATTTGCCAGAACTGGCCTGGCCCCTCTTTCTTTGGTGCATCCAATAACAAATAGTTATGAAGCCCCTAGACCCAGGTACAATATTTAACTATAAAATAAATAGAGTAAAAGGACACTATATGTACTTGTTATGTGACAGCCATTGAGCAAGGCACTTTTTAAAACCATTACGACCCCCTGATGGGTAAATATATGATTCCATTTTTACAGCTGAGAAACAGACTGAAAAGGGTTGATGGCACCGTCGCGGTGACACAGCCACAGTCCGATCTGGAGCTGTCCCCTCCCGGGTCCGTGCTTCTCCCACCACAGTGATGGGTAACACAGAGCTGCCCTGTCCTGTCTCTTTCCACTAGTGAGGACGTTCACAAACACGCCATCTCTCTGCCACCGAATATTGCCTGACAGCTGCCCAGGAATACAAATCTGGTCACCAAAGCAGAGAGTGAAGTCAAGTAGCTCCCAGAGGCCTCTAACCCCTGACCTGGACCTTTTTATTACCTTTTAACCATCTCCCAATTTAGATCTTCCACGCCCCATTAGCTAAACTGCTGGTGGCCGGGCAAGGTGACCTGCCTTCTCTGCCTATTCCGGCCTTGGACGCTGTCAAATTAATGATCGCTGCCAGGCCAGAGCCGGGGGTTTAGTGACAGATCCCCAGTCCACTCCCCACCCCTCGTCCCCTGAAAAGCTAACCCTGGTCTCAGACAGACAGCTGCCCTAAAGCCCTGTCTGCTGACCCAGCTCAGAACCCCCCATGTGGTCTGCCATATTGGGTTTGAGCGAGAGTGGAAGGAGCATTTCTCTAGAGCTCATCCTTGTGCCGATACCGATACCACAGGGAAGTGGGGGCGGCCACTGTCATGTGCATTCTTGCTCTGGGCAGCTAATGACACACTCCCTCCCACCCAGAGCAGTAACTTCTTGTGAGTTGAAGAGAACCCGAGGGAAGCTGGAGTAGAAGGGAGGGGATGGGGCTGCCTCATTAGCAGAGGAAAAGTAGTATTTTGGCACTCCAAATGCTCGCTCGCTTGGGTGATACTCATGAATGCGGTCATTCATTCACTCAAACACTTCATGGTCAATCTGTACTACCTGCAAGCCCTGTGCCGGGTGGTCCGGGAAGCAGGGCGTGCACTGCCATGGGGGATGCAGGTGATGTTAGCAGGAGAAGGTTACAGTGCGGAGTCCGGGGCACCTGCTGGGTGGAACTCTGAGCTCCTCCACTCACACGCTGAACTCTTGGCAAATCACTTCACCTCTCTGGGTCTCAATTTGCTTATTGATGAAAATAAGGATATAAATGGCACCTATATCATAAAATTGCTGTGAAGATTGAGTGATTTAATATAACAGAGCTCTCAGAATGGCGTGTGGGCAACAATAAACACTCAGTGTGTGTTTCTTGCTGTTGTTCTCCCAGCTCTGTAAACCGGCGTAAGTGCTGTGATGGCTACGGCGGGCGCCGGGAGAGAGCAGGAAGCACTCCTCGTCCAGAGGAGCGATTCCTAGGGTAAACCTGACAGATCAGTAAGGAGTATGTGATCCAGGTGAAGAGAAAGGGAAAGAGCAGTCCAGGTGCCAACATTGTATATGAAAAAGGGAAAAAAGCACCTAGTGTGTTTAAGAAATATACAATATTCTCATACTGGGAAAAACAGGAATGCAGCCCTAGCTGGTGTGGCTGTTGGATGGAGCATCATCCCATACACCGAAAGGATGGGGGTTCCATTCCCGGTCAGGGCACATACCTAGGTTGCAGGTTCAATCCCCAGATGGGGTGTGTATAGGAGGCAACTAATCGATGTTTGTCTCACATCAATGTTTCTCTCTCTCCTTCTCCCTCTCCTTTTCTCTTGCTCTAAAAATCAATGAAAGCATGTCCTCCGGTGAGGATTAAAAAAAAATCAGGAATGCAGACCAAGATAAGGGGACATAAAGGGACAATAACACATGACATGAGACATAATAATGCACGGCCTCAATGAGGCTCACACACCAGGGCTCTCCAATAGCCAGGCTATGAGCCGCTTGATTGAGAAATTATGGTTTCCATAGCTTAGCAAATGCATATGGTCCGGGCACAGAGGACATATCAATAAAGTCAGCTCAGTGTCACCTCCTCAGAGAAGCCTTTCCTGACCACCCTACGTTCCCCGAAGCATTTCGTCCACTCTCATATCCCCAGAGCAGAGAGAAGTGTCTGGCACATAGTAGGTGCTCAATCAATATTTGTTGAAGGAATGAACAAATAAGGGAGGGGTGAGAAAGACAGGCACAGCCTCTGCCCTCAGGAAGCTTACAAGATGATCAGAGAGTTTGAGTTACGAGGAACCTGGTATATGGCATCACAGCACTGCCCAGAGGAGTCGAGGAATTAAAAAGAAAAAAATGGAGTGCCAGTGAGCCAAGATATGTTAAGAACAAGCGGCGGAGCTCAGGTTGCAGCCGCAGTTAATAGAGCACGTGTCCCTGCCTGATGCATCACCCCCCCCCCCCCAGCAGCAGTCTTCTGGGACCCTGCAAAGCGTGCAGAAAGGCTGACAGCTCACAATCAATACCATGTTCACTGATGCAGGGAGCAACATTATCACATCCAAGATGTTGCCCCCACATCCCGCTCCAGCACTAAATATTCCCCATAACAAGGCTAAGGGGAGTGACAAGAGCTATTATTTTCAACCCTCCCACTTGGAAGCAAGAGGTGAGGCGAACCTTTCCCTGGATGTTCTTAGGGGAAAGCAAGCCAGTTCCCCTAAGAAATCGCTCGAGGCTGATCCCAGGCCTAACACAGCAAGACAGGGGTGCGAAAGATTGGCATTTCCACTTGGTCCGGGTGTCCACAGTATAGAAGGGGAGGCTCTGTGGGCGGCTGAGAGGGGGGTGGATGGTCCCACACACACACCCAGGTTGGCGGGGAATGTGTGAGGGGTGGATGCTGGGCTGTGTTCTATGTGCCCACGTCCCTCTAATAAAATGAAACTTGACACCCGCCCCCCAGTTTAGCTTTCCTATTTCAGCTTCTCTGACTGTGGCATAACTGAAGGTCATATTTCATTCAAGCCAATGGCTTCCAACTCTAAGTGCAGGTGGCTTCTGAATAGTAAGCCAGAATTTATCAAAGGGGACAGCAAACAAGTGCATGTTAAACACCACCCACTGCTCAGTGGGGAGAAGGGGAGCGGGTCAGGCACACAGCCTTGCTGTTAAATCCACCCTCACCTGGTTCTTAGCCTGTGACAGGACTCTAACAGGAAGCAGGCGGGGCAAGGATGCCAGGGATGTTTTCCTAATTCCATAGTGAATTTATTTAATGGCAGGCTTTTTTTTTTCAGCCTTTCACTTCCTTCCTGACAAGATAAGGAATATTGCTCTTATTTTTCATGTTCTTTTTGAAAAGGCAGACAGGTTAATTAGTTATATTTTTGATGCTTCTTGATCAAAGAAATCAGCTAACACTCGAAGATGGGTATATTCACTGGAGATGTGACAAATGTCATAGAAACTCAGAAATTTGTCCATCATGGAACAAGAAAGCTCAGTTCACAAGCTA